CTAATATTTACTTATTTTAGCATGTACCAGAAAATGCATAGCTGTGAAAATAGAAAATTCAAGGTTGGTCAAGGCAGCTTTTAAGAGAAGGAAGTTCTCTTATTATTATATTCCAAGAAAGGGGTCAAGGGTTAGGCTGGATTTTAAATTTCATGAGGGTAGAGCCCATTCATTGATTCACTCAACAAAAATGTACCAAGTACCTGACATGTGCACCATTCTAAGCAAACGATACAACAGCAAACAAAACATTTCTTCCTGCATCCAACGCCCTTTGCATTTCCCTATGCCTAAAAATGACGATAATGGCCAACCTTTATTGAGCACTTACCATGCGAAAAGTACCAGTCTAATTACTTTACATGCATTCATTCATTTACTCCGCAGAACTAGCCTATGAGGTAGGCGCTACCACCACCCCCATTTCACAGAGGAGAGAAATGAGGTGCAGAGAGGTTGAGTCACTTGCCCAAGGCCACACAGCCAATTAATGGCAGAACCATCACTTGAACCCAGGCAGTCAGGACCCAGAGCCCGGACTCTTTAATGTTACATTTTCACCACAGCAGGCAATCAATAACCACTGAGTGATGATGATAAGAAGTACAGCATGAACACAGTAAAACAGCCCAAATATAAGCAGAGCCAGGAGAAGGGTCAGTTTAAATTATGGCAGCTTAAACTCTAGGTTAGTTTTGGAAAGAAACATACTTTTATTACTTGAAGTGCACATCCTAGGGCTAATCTAGTCACGTGAAATCTACTCACAAGCAGAGGGCTCTGCTGCCTGTTGTACGGACTAATGAAGACTGGACTGCAACTCAAGAGCCTATCGCTACTAACAATGTCATTCAAGCCATTTCTTCTCTGGAGAAGGCTACACACTCACAATCTTATTGATTGTACTCAGTTGTTCCACAGCCCTCACTCCAAATTTAGGTCAAAGCAACTTCAGATTTCATAGTACATTAACGTCAACTCATCTGAAGTGTTGCTGGGGTGGTCATTGGTGCTCAGCAACACCCCAATTCTTCTCTTCCTGCCGTGTGGTAGGATCACACACTTTCATAAGGTGGGTTTCCTGTGGGTCATGAACTATGTCAGTGATACGTGCCACCTGTGCGTGGAAGCCTTTAAAATCTGATACGCAACTTACGGCTTCCGTCCACCTGCCTCAGTCATCAGGAAAAGCTCTATGGAGAGGAAGCCTCAGGGAGCCTGGCAGAGCCCCCACGACCGGAGGGGGACACAAAGCCCAGAGAATAAACTATGCATTGCTGTTTGAAGCTGCTGAGGTTCTGGTGGTGTTGGTTTTCAGTCCAACCTAACTGATAGAAACACCAAACCCTCCAAATCCCGGATGAAAAAGAGGCAAATGCATGAAGACTCTATATAGCCAATTTGGAGAGACATTACAACACACATTTACATGCCAACACACCTAATCTTCTGGACAGCACTGAGAAGTAGGTATTACATCCATTATGCAGACGTGAAAACTGAAGTTGGGAGAGGGAAGAGGCTTTCGCTAAGGTTAGATAGCTAGTCAGTGACAGAGGTGAGCTTCAACTTCAAGTCTGCCTGAAACCTGTGATGATGCTATACTTTCTACAGAAATCATGTGCAACTGGGTTACATGCAGGGCCAAACACAGGAGCATTAGGTGGGAAAGGCATTCCGTCATTCCGCAAACATACAGCATGTGTCCTTACGATGCGTCAGGCATTGCAAAAGGGCCTCAGAGTGAATGACCTCTGGCCTCTGTGCTTGAGGAGCTGACAGTCTAGCAGGGGCTACAGACAGGTAGAGTGGCCATTTCAATACGGATCAATGAACTATTTGGCTAGGCAAGGTGAAGTGGGGGAGTATACTAAAAGCTATGGAAGGAAAAAAAAAATTAGAAGGAAAAACTAGGAAAGCAAATGAGGAATGATGGCCAAATAAAGACGTGACATTCACGTAATTCTTAGCCTGCTCAGATTTGAACACATTTGGTAGGAATATGCATCTGCCTCACCATGGCAAATAGTCCTATGATGGCATGCGGCCACTGGCTGATGACATCAAAGACACCCGAAAAAGCCAAAAGTGGCAGCTCTACCCGCTGGTAACAGCAGCCTCCAGTCCAGCTGGCTCAGGAATTCAAACCCAAGCAGGGAACACACATTCCTCGGCTGGCTGCCACACCAATTCACAAGTACTGGGCATTTTGCTTGCTGGTCTTATATATATATATATATGGCTCAGTGCATGTAATTCATACATGGGGGGGGAGGGGTGTGTTCCTCAGCCTGGCCTGTGCCCTCCCATAATCCGGGACCCCTCGGGTAGGGTCCCTAGGCCTGGCTGGCGATCAGGGCCTATCGGGGATTTCCTTCCCCCAGCTGCCAGCAGCTGGCCCTACCCTGGCCATTGCCACTGCTTGCCATCTGTGCAGCATTGCCCCCCCTTCCCCACCACCAGTCGCCTCCCTCTGCAGGTGACAGGCATGGGGTGCAATTGCTTGGCTGGCCTGGGCCTCCCTCTGCAGGGCGATCGCTGGCCGGCCCACACACCCACCACAGCATTACTCACCGGTGGCCTGGGCCTCCCTCTGCAGGTGATCGTGGGGTGATGGCGGGCCCCCCGGACCAATTGCATTGCACCTGTCTTGGCTGGCCTGGCACCAGTGTGTGTCATAGTGTGGTTATCTGGAAGGTTGTCCGGACAGTCATTCTGCTATTCAGTTGTTCAGTCAATTTGCGTATTATGCTTATATATAATTTTATACATACATATATTTGTATATATGTATGTATAAAATTATTGTTTTAGAAAGAGAGAGGAAGGTAGAGAGAGAAAAACACTGATGTGAGAGTGAAACAGACTGACTGCCTCCTACACATCCCCTACTTGGAGATCAAGCCTGAAACCTGGGCATGTGCCCTGACCAGGAATCCAATCAGAAATCTTTTGGTACACAGAATGATGTCCAACTCATGGAGCCACACTGACCATGGCTTTTCTACTCATTCTAGACTTTTTGACATATTCATCAGAACTTGTACAATGCCTGACATACAATAGTCAATCCATGTTGACTGGTCACCATACAGAGAATGAACAGAAGCCATGAACATTAGGTAGGAAGAATACTCAGGCTCTCAGAGAATAAACAGAAGGGCATGGATTGCAGAAGACTTTCAAAGAAGCACCAAAAGGTCTGAAGCTTTTGGCAACCAGTATTGGACTTCAGAATGAGTTAGGCTTCTTTTGATTATACTCAGCCATGCAGGTCTGAATTCTGAGCTTCAGAAGGGGATCCCTCTCCTTTGGAAATTAAGAAATGAATGGTTCTCTTGGGTAGAAGTATTTTAGGACAACATCCAGACCCATGAGGTCTGGGGAGAAACAGAAATCCTACTTTGGAAGTTACTGGCATAGTCTTGGTCTTTGGGCAATTTAACAACCTAACTATAGAAGGGTGAACACATTGAGGAGGAGATCTGAAGATGATCTGGGAGGATTCCTGAAACCTGGAGATTCCAGTGGCAGCTAGGGAAAGGCACACAGGTGAAATAACAGGAAACATAAAGTTCTGCTCTCATGAGTTTAAATTTCAGAAGGGCTCTTAGTATCCCTAAGCCATCTGGTCTCTGAGGGCTTAAATTGGGTGCATCTGTCCTTGGCAATGGGCAAGGGGCCTCTTGTCGCGGGACAAAGAACTAGGGAGGAGAAGACACAGACAGAGAAAGTTGGGGAGGGAAGGGCATTTCAAGCGGTGGAAAGAGACCATGCTGCTCTCTCGGGTAGAAATGAACATGTTCTATGGTGCAGGCATGGTCCTCCCTCTGTGAAAACGTCCTCTGGATCCTGTACCTGGGAAACTCTTCTTTTCCTTGACATACCAGGTCAGAAGATACCTTTCCCAAGCAATCTGCCTTAGTTTCCCCAGGCTCTGGTTAGCAGCTTGGAAGCCAGGGTGCTGAGACTCTCCAAGTCCATGAATGACATAGCTAAGTCCTGACCATCAGCCTCACACCCCTTCTTAGCACAGTTCTAGAAAGCTGATGAATTAAAACATATTGATTAAGTACCTACTATGCACTGGCTACAGTTTCTATGAGATGCATCTACAAGCGAGCACAGCACTCCTGCTTCAGGGCACTTACATTCTGGTTGAGGAGACGACAATAAACAAATAGACATATAAGAAAACAGACCACGGCAGATCAGGTGGCAGCTTTCCCGATACCTCTTTTAGCTTTCTGTGTGGCTCTTTCTGAACAGCAGAGTCTAGGAAATGAAACTTTTCACTTCTTGGTTTCTTGCCCAGTAGCTTAAATGCTCCCTTGCCATTGTCTCAAAGATCCCAGAAATACTGTGTTGGAGCATCATCCCATTTGTTGAACCTGCCTCCATCATTGGACCAGGAGCTTCTGTAAGTCAGATGCTCACATGGGTTCACTTGTCTGGCTCACACAAGGCACACACCACATGCTTGCTGCGGGAAGGCTCCCTCGGAAACAGACTGCCTTGCTTGAACGGAAGGCCTGCCCTGAGAGGGGTGAGGGACATTCAGGAAGTTAGGTCGATGGGACAAGTTACCGACAGGACGTGAATGCTAGGCCATGTTAATACTAGCTAGCAGGTAAAGAGAAGCTACTGCAGGTATTTTAGCAGGGGGAGTTTGCTGCAAACAATATGGAGAGGAAACATGTTTTGAGCATCTATATGTGGAAGGACTGGACAAAGTGGAGGTGAAGGGTTAAGTCATGACTGAATGGTAGAAAAGTGGTAGCCAAAGCAACAGGAAAGGGAAGGGCAGGAGCTGTAGAAAATTTGGCACAAGACTGGTGCCTGGAATGTCTCAGTAAGTGGCAGGGAGCATGGTGGAGGGCGTGGGCATGGTGGAGGGGCTGGGAAGTGTCTGTTAATTTGAAAGAATTTGATTCCAGGGTCAATGTTCCGTGAGAGGAGTTGGGAGCTGATCTGTAGGTGTGAGCATCTTGGCTAATAACACTGACTTAGGAGAGAGAGAATATGTGGCCGAAGGAGCATGGGCTCCTGGGCTAGGGAGACGGGCTTGAGTTCTGGATCTGCCAAGTACTAGTTGTATGGGCCTAGACAAGTTACCTACCTTTCTTGGGCTTCATCAGTTAAGTATGGGTAACTATCACACGTTTTTCAGAAGGTTGCTGAGGGGAGTAATGAATTGATACATGGAAAGGCTTGAAACAGCCCGGCACTCAGTGAAAGATAGCTATTGCTCCTGTCTTCAGGTGGTACTCTCACTGAGCAACATCTCCGGGTGAGGAGTATGGAAGGGAGAGGGGCTGAGGCCCACGGAGAAGGCATTTCCCTCTAGAAATACTACCCAACACCAGTGGGCCAGTGGCTTGGCCTTGCAAATAGTTTAGCTTTCTTGAGCATTTTGATGTGAGAATAGTCCTCATCAAAATGGGATTTGCCAATGTGTACAACATAGCTTAAGATAGCTAAGGAGATGACCCATATAAATATACTATGGAAGCCAAAACTGGTTTAGCTCAGTGGATAGAGCATTGGTCTGTGGACTGAAAGGTCCCAGGTTCGATTCTGATCAAGGGCATATACCTTGGTTGTGGGCACATCCCCAGTAGGGGGTGTGCAAGAGGCAGCTGATGGATGACTCTCTCTCATTGATCTCTCTATCCCTCTCTCTTCCTCTCTGTAAAAAAAAAAAAAAAAAAAAAAAAAAAAAAAAAAAAAAAAAAGCAATACAATAAAAACAAATAAATAACCAAACTATGGAAGGCAAAATTTTTTTTAAAAAGCATTAAGCAGTATGGAATTTGGTATTATTTGAATTTGACATTACCCTCCTGCTGCTAAAGAAAATCTAAACTGGTAAAAAGAATGAAAACAAAACAAAGGCGTGGGAATAGCCCATTGATTCAGGACGGTGTGTCTCACACTGGAAGGCATACTGCTGCCCCCAGCCCCTCTGGTGGTAGTGGCCAGGAGCATGCCTCACAGAATGTGCTGAATTCCAAACATTTCATATCAAAGAACCCAGGTTAGTCACTCGGTTATTTTTAGTCCCTGTTGCAGATAGGCTCGGAGCTTATCCATGATGTAAACCGAAACCCAGGATAGCAGGGCGGCATGAAGAGAGACCCTAGCCCCACTGCTGGGGCTCTGTGTGACCCAGGCGGGCTTCTTCATTCCTTCCCAGCCCTGAATATGCCCAAAATAGAACTAGAAGGGAGGGGTGGATCCAGACACAGGGGACACCTTTATTTTTAGCCCACTGAGGACATTTCATTTACCAAACAATATACTGAAATGAGAACTTAAACATAAAAGCTCCAGGCTGTCAAAATGTCAATGGTGCAGACAATTGTTCAGCAGATAAATCATTAGGAATGGACAAGAATAACATGCACTAAAAATATTCCCAATGGACTTTATTTAGCAATAGATAACACGTCCATGATTTTAAGCACATTCTGTCTCTTTTAGCTGTGTCTGGATTAATATAATTAAGCATAAGACCTCTGAATACTTATTTTATGTCAATTTACAAGACTGAAAATCTTTTTTTCTCTCTCTCCTTCCAACTACTGTTGACATTCAACATTATATTAGTTTCACGTGTTTATATAGTGGTTAGACATTTATATAACTTACCAAGTGGTCTCCCCCAATAAGTTTACTACCCATCTGGCACCATACAGTTATCACACGATTGACTATATTCCCTATGCTGTAATTTACATCCCTGTGACTATTTTGTAACTGCCAATTCGTACATCTTAATTCCTTCACCTTTTTCTCCCAGTGTTCCCCGCCCCCCCCCCCCCCCCCCCCCCCCCATATCTGGCAACCAGCAGCTTGTTCTCTGGATCTATGAAAAATGAGGAATCTTTTCTTTCTTTATACAAATGGCATATTACTACTTGTCTCACTTTTAAAAGATTTCCATGTTGCAACGGTGTTATTGAATTCAATACCCAGATGCTCAATGGTTGGGGAGAGGACATTGAAAATGATACTACTTTATTACAAGCATATCTTGCAAATGTTAAGCTCCCTCTCCCGCCCCCAATGTCTCGGGTTTAAGAACAGAACCTTGACAAATCAGGTTAAATCCTAGAGGAAAAGACCATAAGGCAAAAATAAAAAAAATGATCACACTATTTCAGTCCAGTCCTCTAGTACAATCCAACACCGTAAAGAGAGAGAGGTGATAACCTTTCCATAAAAGAAAATCTAACTGCCAAATCTGTGGTTGTAAGTACACATTTGTCACCTAAACGTGGCTCTCAATGACATCACTGGCTGACTGAATCACAGATAAGCGACTGCAGCTTTCTAATCTGGTTTTAAATCCATTTTAGCCGATTGGCTGGGCACTGTCGCCGAATGCTTGATTAGGCACATTCCTCTGAGCAGAGTTATAGGTGGCGAGTGACCTCCAGCCAGTGGGTGGCTGGGGGAAGGCGGCCTCCACTGAAGTCCCTCCGCAGTTACTCAATGTCTTGGTGCTATCCAAAGGAAATCAATCACACCTTCTTGAGTCACACTAGCTGCAGATAATCCTTGGCCACTTCCTTTTACCTGAATTCCAGCTCGCTCAAGGTCCTGTGGATTATGGTCAACTAGCTAATCTCATTAAATAATCAAGAACGTTGGGGCCAAAGGCACTGTGGTGTCATCCAGGGCTCTCCTGACATAGGCTGACTTCTTGCTGCTAGTGGAGGTCTCTAGGTAAAGGGTCAGTGCTTATCTTATGGAGATCTGTTTTCCTAAAGAGCATTTCCAGGCATCAATTCACGCCAGGAGGAAGGGTGTTTTCCACAAGCTACTGTCACCTTGCCTCCCATCATATCCTATTCACCTGGTTCCCCCCAGCATCTAGCACAAAGCTGGTTGCCATAGTAGCCACTGATTCTGTCTTTAAATTGCGCTCTGGGGGCAGTTGTGACTTGTGGCTATCACAGTTATTTACAATGAATCTAATCACTGAGCATATGGACAAAGGGTTCCTCTGTGTAAGTATATGAATTTATTAGATAGCATTCTTAAAAGCCTTTCAAAATAAACCTCATTAAATTAAAATATAATGTAGTTTTTTTTTCTCTTCACCATAAATAGCAAATATTTTAAATGTTGATAATATCAAGCCTTGGTGGTAATGCACAGGGGCAGGGGACATGTAGATTAGCAAAGTCATTTTGGAGGGCAGTAAGGTGGCATCTGATAAAATTACAAATATGCAGGCCCTGTAGTCCAGCAACTCCACTTTTAGGAACCTACCCTTGAAATAATCTTACTTGGGTACAAAGAAGTATGTTGAAAGGTGCATAATTTGCATAATTTGTAATAGTGAATAATTAGAAATAATTATTTAATATGCACATCCATAGATAAAGATTAAAATAATAACATGAAATATTATGCAGCCATTACAAGTCTATTTGTGGTGACCTGGAAAAATCTCTAAGACCTATTAAGTGGAAAAATCAGGTAGCAGAACAATATGCAGACTGTGATATTATATATACTTAAAAAAACTAGATACTCCTAGGCATGGCTTTGCCCATACATTTCTACAGGAATACTTGGAAAAGAGTGTGGAAGATTATATACACACTGATGACAACGTTTATTTATGAAAAAGAGTGGAATTAGAAAAGGGGAGACATCAAGAGGAACTCAAACTTTTCTCTATATTGTTTCAATTTTATTCAGTGAGACTATATTCATACAAGTATTATGAGATTTATTTAATTATAAATTGAACTTACCTTTCCTTAGTGAACTAGAGGCTTAGCCTCCTCATTTCTATAACCTGAGCCTTCACTTAAACTTTTCATCTGGGGAACTTAGGCAACAGTATACTATATCCTTGTCATGGAAATAAATATGAGGATACAATACTGACCTTTTCATAAATGTTTCTTTCTTTCTTTTTTTAAGATCAGTTCTAAGTGTTTTAATCCATGGGAAAATGAGTTGTGCTTCTGCTAAAGCCAAGGGCAAAAACTTCAACCCAAAAACACCACCACAAATAAACCAAGGGGACAGAATTCCTTATCAACAGAAAGTTACAGCTCCCTCTAGACTGAGGCCTTCTCACAGACCTGTTATCAGAGATTCCTGGGCATGCTTTCCAAGAAATGTAAAACAACACAAGTTTCAAATGGAATGCACCTTTGACCTACTTTAAATTTAATTCTCCTTTTCTTCCTCCAACTTTCCATTTATGGAAAGACTCATGAGAATTGTAATACTCTCTTCTCTTTTTTTAAAGTACAGAATAATGAGTTAGGGATTTATGCATTAAACATATTTTTTGGTCTTATTTTAAAAAAACATATTTTTAATTGATTTTAGAGGGAGAGGAAGGGGGAGGGAGAGAGAGATAGAAATATCAATGATGAGAGAGAATCATCGATGGGCTGCCTCCTGCACACCCTCAATGGGGATCGAGCCCACAACCTGGGGATGTGCCCTGACCAAGAATCAAACCAGTGACCTCCTGGTTAATGGGTCAGTGCTCAACCACTGAGCTATACTGGGCTGTCTTATTCTTAAATTAACTGGATTTTAAAAGCAAATGTTGCATCCTTTGAAATCATCTTCTAGATCTTCCATCTTAGGGAGAAAAAAAGAGCTTGTGAATTTGGAGTGATTAATTATAGAGGAAAATGAAGTAGGTTACTTGTAAAATGTTGAGAGAAGAAGATGCCTGCTTCAAAAGCCTGGAAGACTGTCACGGGTGGTTAATAAGGGTGTCTGGGAGTGGTACCTTGGGGTTTGCACTTTTAATGCCAGAGTTTGTTCTGATGCTCAGACATGTATGTTTTCCTTCTTGGTACAAAATGCACCTTCAGAGGAATGATTAACACCTATGGATATCAGAGGTTTGTCTAGAAAGATCCCAAAGATATTCTCAAAATCTCATAGCAAAATATTTAAAACTAGAGGCCTGGTGCACAGCATTTATGCACTGTGTGTGTGGGGGGGTGTCCCTCAGCCCAGCTTGTGTCCTCTCGCAGTCTGGGACCCTGCAGTAAGTGGGCCTAAGTCGGCAGGTGGGCATCCCCCAAGGGGTCCTTAGCACTGCCACGGAACTTGCCACCACCATGGAACTTGCCAGCCGTGAGCCAGGCTTCTGGCTGAGCAGTGGTCCCCCTGGGAAAACACACTGACCACCAGGGGCAACTCCTGCATTGAGTGCTTGCTTGCCCCCTGGTGGTCAGTGCACATCATAGTGACCTAATGGGATGCATAAATTGATTGTTTGCTGCCAGACAACTAAGGGCATCTTAATCTACATGTTATTGCCTCCTACTGGCCAAATACCTAAACAGCCATAGTGTATTCCCCATTCTGACAATGGACTCTGTAGACAAAACCCTACCTTTTGAAGTGTGTATCTCCACCTTGCCTCAGGAAAATTTGTGTTAATAAAAAGCAAGGGGTTTTAAGATAAGGAGAACTTGGTTTCTCTAGCCAGGCTCCTCTGACTCCCAATGCCTTTCAAAATTATTTTTCCTCTCTGGATGCTTATTTAATCTATACACAGCCCTTTCTCCAGATTCCAGAACCCTTTTAGATACCAGATCAAGACCCACCAGCATTAAATGGCACACAATATCTAGTATTAATTGGCGCCTGAAATATGAACAATTTGGAAATGAAGTATTCACCTGAGTGGATAAAATAGCACAAGTGATGGTGGTAAGATTAACTGTGCGTAGAGCCCATGTCAGCTTTGGAAGCTTACAGATCCTCAAGTGCAAGGGTGATACTTTATATTTAAGTTAATAATTGGAACTATAAATGATTTACCGTGATAATGATTAAAGTTATGAGCAATCATGTTAGTTTCTTACAAAAAATATTATGTTTATTTCTGTCATTTAATATAACACAGTCACTTAATTTACTTTCTTGAAATCTTAAGAATTAAAAACAATAGACTCTCATCCTTTAAAAAAATCCTCATTAACAGTATCAAAGCCTTCCAGAATGTAGAATTATCATTATTACTGTTTTGAATTCAGGGATTGTTTTTCCTCAGATCTTAGCATTTATGGTAGAAAAGCAGAGAGGAAGAGGCAAACCGTCACCAGAGGGGAAGGCTAGTAGTTTTGGGAATGAAATTGGCCAGGAATGAAAGTCACAGACTTAAAGACACAATTCGTGTGTTCTCATTATTCTGTTTTGAGTCTCTTCACTGGCTGCAGAGTTTCCAGCCTGCGAAGGCTGTCCGCTATGCTCTGGTGTGAGAGTCTCTCTTCTAGGCTGTCCCGGGAATCCAGCTGACTTGGCCTTTACACTGTCCTTACATGTTCTCGCCTCTCTAATTTCATATACTTGATCACTCAGCTGGAAAAAAAGTCTTGGCAAATTACACTACAATCATCTTTTCCCACCTTTGCTCACCATCGAGAAAAAGATCTGTTGTCATACAGCAAAGTTCATCAAGAATGGCCCTTGGAGAGAACTCTCCACCCACAGGGGAGCTGGCAGACAGAAGCCCAAAATCATTTCATTATTCCGAGCGCGATCTGGCCTCCATTCACCTGTGACAGATGTTCCCACACTCAAGCACCATTAGGGATTAAGACTGTGAAAATGTCAATCAACTCTGAATGAATCTATAAATTCAGTGAAAATCATAGAAGTGAGGTGTATGTGTGTGTGTGTGATTAACAATTCTAAAACTTTTATGGGAGAGCAAAAGGTTAAAAGAACCAAGACAAATTTGAAGACAAACAGTGGGGTCTTGGCACAGGGATAGACAGAGGAATAAAACAGAGCCCATTAACAGTCCCACACATGCATGAAACAGTGTGAAACCAAGATGACCCTGAAATTCAGGGGTGAAGAATAAACTACTCAACAAGTACCAGGCGTCCCAAAAAATGTATGCACACTTTAACAGCTGATAGCTCAACTGATGTTTCTTTCTTTTCAGATTTAACCCATTGGAATTAATAATTATTCAAAGTATGTGTACATTTTTTGGGGGGGCGAGGGGGAACACCCTGTAGCATTTGGACATAACCAATATAAAATTTATTCCCTATTTCATAAATTATATGAAAAAACATTCCAGGGTATTGGATACCTAAATGTGAAAGTCCAACAACTAAAAACTTTTAGAAAAATTGAACTATACCATAAACAAAGTGAAAAGACAAGCCTAAAGTTAAGAATGTTTGTAACATATAAAACCAACAAAGGATGATATAGACAATGAAGAAACCATTAGGAAAGTCAATAGTGAAAAGACAAAAAACAGACCAAAAATATGAAGTAGAAAAACAGACCAAAAATATGAAGAGACAAATCACAGAAGAAATCATGTGAAAAATACGCAACTTTACACACAATCAGGGAAATGAGAAGGACACTAATTTAAAGGTCGGAAGAGGGATAAACAGGCAGGGATCCACAGGTGAAAGTGTGAGATTAGAGGGCCGAGTGCCTGGAATACAGCAAGTGCTCTCTGGATGTGCTTCTCCTCCCTCTTCTGCCTCACTGAGCTGGGTTCTCACAGCAGAGTCAGGGCCTCCCCAGCACCCTCACAAGGCTCAGGGTCCCTCAAAGACAGAAATCACAGCGGAGGCAGCTGCAGTGCCACGGAAGAAACGAGGAATTTTGAGTCAGAAAACTTTTATTTACTGTGGACTTTTAGTCAGACTCTTTAACTCTGAATCTCAGTTTCCTCTTCTGCAAAGAGAGAGGACTATGACTTTCATGTGAGCTTGAAGATGCCATTGAACTACGAAAGCACTGCACGACATAAAGTCGGTGCTGATGTCCCACTGCTAATGGTGATCTGCCAAGGGACTTCACCAGTGGCTCACACGTGGAAATACTATCATCATTTCCAACTCTTACTAAATGTATGAAGTCATGACTCCCAAAGATGCAGCCACTAGAATAAGTAACCAATAAGAGAAAATGCTGGATCCATTCTTTAAAAAAAAAAATATATATATATATATATATTTTTATATATATATTTTATATATATTTATATATAAAAATTATTTTATATATAATATATTTTATAATTATTTTATATAATTATTTTTATAATATAAAATTATTTTATATATATTTATATATATATATAATTGATTTTTTAATAGAGAGGAAGAGATATGGATAGAGAGTTAGAAACATCCATGAGAGAGAATCATTGATCAGCTGCCTCTTGCACACCCCCTACTGGGGATGTGCCAGCAACCAAGGTATGTTTCCTTGACCGGAATCAAACCCAGGACCCTTCAGTCTGCAGGCTGACGCTCTATCCACTGAGCCAAACCAGTTTTGGCTGGATCCATTCTTTTTCCTGCCAGTATGCAACCTTCATGGGGGTGGACGGGCTGGGTTTAAAACAATGGGCGCGCTGATTCTTTCCATGGGTCTATTTCCAGGGTTGTAATGTACATTCTCTGTCTTCCACATCCTGCCTTCTATTTTCTTCTCTCTACACAGGCCCTTTTAATACCAGTTTATTAAAAGCAGGCAGCTTAAGATATGGCATAAAAGGACTCTTTTGCATCATTAGGCCATGTTAAAATTCTGAACATAAAGGCTCCTGGAGGAGAAACACAGGATGAGCAGCCAGAAGATCTGACTTTGATAGATGACGCTGAGCCCTCAACTCTCTGTGGGACCCCAGGCAAAGCCACATGACCTCTCTGGGGCTCCATGTTCTCATCATAAATTCTTATAGGGAACTAAAATACCCTCAGACACCACTTTACTATATATATATACACACACACTTATTTTTAAAGTTCATACTTATATATTTATATTGTAATGGTGGGATCTTTTCCAATTTGTACATTATGAAAATCTGGTGCAGGGTTCCGAGCCAAGGCCCCCGGGACAGTGCAGGGCTGCTCTTTGCGGGTGCATTGCATTTCGTCTCCAGCTGCTGTTTGTGGCTTCAGCTGCTTCTGAGAGCAGCCACTTTTCCTTTTGATGTCTGAGGCCCATTACTCTCATTTCTGACTTAAACCAACAGGTGTTCCCAGACTTTTCTTTACGGGCTGTCTTCCCTCAGGGTTCCGGGCAGACAGTGCTTCCTGTAAACTTGCTGAGAAGCACAGAGGAATAAATTTCCCCTCGTCCACTGGCTCCACGGTTGGCACGAAAGTCTTCGGTGGCCTCGTGAAGTCTCGACCTTTCCCAGTTCTGGGAGGATGCAGGGATACATGGGGAGGCACGAGGGCCAGGCCTACGTGCTCCATGGAAACAGTGGCAGCACAGCCTTTCATCCTGCAATTTAGGGCCTAATTAGGGTTGGCCTGTGCCACCCAAATGCCAGGATGGGTGAGATTTCTTGGAACCTTGAATCCCGGAAAGTCCCACTTCCAGGGAGAGAGTCTCATGCTGGCAGTGGAGCCTGGCATTGCAGCATGCATCCCCAATATGCCATGTCAAGCTGAATGTGAGTCTGCTCCGGGCAGAAATACACATGCACATCCAACAGGACAGCAGACAATAGGGGGCAGGGTATGGGACAAGATGTAAGATGCCCTTGGATTATATCTGGGAACCAGAGAAGAAGCAGGTTACTCTGAAAGGGCAACTAGTGTCACAAGATAATATTTTAAAATATTAAAGGATTGCGCCAGGACCAGTTTGGCTCAGTGGATAGAGTGTCGGCCTTTGGACTCAAGGGTCCCAGGTTCGATTCCGGTCAAGGGCATGTACCTTGGTTGCGGGCATGCCTCCAGTAGGGGGTGTGCAAGAGGCAGCTGATCGATGACTCTCTCTCATCGATGTTTCTAATTCTCTCTTCCTCTCTGTAAAAAGTCAATAAAATATATTTTAAAAAATATTAAAGGATTGCATACACATGCATGAAATTGTATTTCTTTTGATCCTATAACCCATTTCCCCTCAGTCACTAGGGACGGAGTTCTGAAAGTTCGGCCCTGAGGACACTCAGGAGATTGAAAGAGGCAGAGTTGGGCTTCTTGCCCCCAAGACCAGAGAAAGGTCCTTGGGTCGAAGATGTTCTTGGGAAGAGTGAGGGGACCCTTAGACATGCTTGTCGGTTTACAGAACAAAGGGCTCCTCTGCTTCACCTCTTGAATACGCACAGGCGTGCGGTAGGCCCCAAGCAGAATGGCTGTGTCAGTGTCAGATGGGGCCACCGAGTTTTCCATGGCTTAACACTCCATGTGGCTCAGAGTAGAAGGCCATAGATGAAGTTTCACACTGACTCTGAGTTCCCAGGCCTGCTGGCTCATGAGCAGCAAGCTTCTTTGCACTCATGGGGTTCAGAGACTCGGAGAGATGGAGTGTGTTGGGCCTAAAGCCACCAGCGCCCACCAGGGCTGTGGATTGACAGCAGAGGACCATGGGATGCAGGATGCCGCTGGGATGCCTGCAGGGACAGAGAGCAGTTGGGGAACAGGTACCAGCTCCTTGTAGCCTTGTCCCCCAGAACTCAGACACGGTCTGCAAAGGGGATGGGACCTGAAGCTGCCAGCCAGTATGCTCCCCTCACCCAGGGAAGAGGAGCACAATGCACAAATTAAGAGAGTTAGAGGGGGGAAAAAATTAAAGTGGCATCTGTTCTATCCCTAAGCACCTGCCCTGAGTCTGGTGCCCATCACACTCGTAAAAATCAACCCTTCATAGATGAGTCTGGTTTGTGACTAACCCATACCAGGAAATATGATATCGGTACAAGAGATGGGCCTAGACATGGTTCAGAAGCCAGGTTGGTAAAGAGGAGAATGAACTGGGGGGCAGAAGACAGGATGAAAGTAGGAAAGGCACATTTCTGCTTTCTGAGGTTTATCTGAGTAATGGCCAAAAGCTACTCCCTACCCCTGCTCTCTCTCCCCACCAGCTGGGCAACTCTACGTGGGCCCACACAACAACACCCCACGGTCACAGATCTCTCCAGGAGACACGCTAAGTGTTGCTGCTCTCATCTCTGCAGCCCCTGGAGGCACAGCCAGGGAACAAAGAGCTTCA